TCAATAAATATGATACATATTTGAAAATGTTTTAAGAACTTTAGAAAAATTTCAAGAGCAAATTTTTATATTTAAATTATATTGGAGTGGCAGTAAATATTCCGGATAAGGTTGACGCGTGCAAATTTGTATGGATCATCTGTGATCGGTGTCAGAAATTTAATTTTTAACAAACGATCATTTGTTTTATTGCATTAATAACTACTGGAATACCTCCTCTTTCATTTTGTTATAATGATATATTGCTTCAAACTATAATTATGATGAGCATATTTAAATATGAGGAGAATATCAAATGTAAATGAGAATTTAAGAAACTGGCAATTTTAGGTCTGAAAATTAAGAAATTCGGAACCTTAGAAATTTGTAAATATGAAAATATCAAAATATTGATATATACGAATTTCTAGACTTAAAAATTTACAATTTTATAAATTTAAAACTTCAATAATTTGTAGAAGAAAAAATGAAAAAAATGCAAAAATACCTATAAAAATTATAAATTCTACCTCAATAACCTTTTGACACAATTTCCAGTTACCTTACAGATTTAATACCTAATATTATCGCTAAGATCTTCAAACTTCGAATTACAAAGTTACGTTATTACATTAAATTCATGGTATCGGTCACCAGCGACCCTCATCAAAGTTACACGTTTACGAGTCTGACTCGTTTCAAACAATCGGCGAGACTTTCACGAATCGATCGATTTCGTATCGAGCGAGTCCGCAACAATTTACTAAATTACAGAATGCCCAAGATTACGAGTGCGCGACGAGAGGTTGTATGACTGGCTGGTCCAGGGGGAGGAATATTACGAAGGGATACGGAGGCACAACGGGGGCGTGGACGAAATGTAGGTGATGATACGTGAACGATTCCCTGCGATCGATCTCTGTGTTCACGAAAAATTCACGCACGCCCGTGTACTCGTATATTAAATGAAATTGGACCGACAACAAAATCGCGAGATTGCATCCTATCGATGATGCAGCAACAACAACAACAGCAACGTGGAACTGACGAAATTCTTCACGCGAACGCGAGTTCGATCTCGAGAATCAAAAATTGAATATTGCTAATATTCGCGACAAACGTTGAGAAAAGAACGAAAATATTTATAGATTGTAAAAGGGAATTCAGTGCTGCCATATCGATATTGATATTTAAATTATTAATTGATTTGTAATACCGTTAGGGCTAATGGGAATACTTGTGGTCAGATGTAATTTTTTTATTAGAATTTTTGTCCAAGGTTGAAGTTGAGGTTAAGGTTGAATTTATCTTTGAAGGTAGCTTAACATAACCAAAGAGTTTTATCATTCAAATTCGTTTATAGATTCTTCAGTTTCCAATGTTAACTTTAAATGAGTGTAATTTTAGATGACTTTGAATAGATAAACTTGAATTGTAAAATGGATCAAGATAGGTTAGGATTAGGTTAAATTGAAGCTTTATAAAGATTAAATAAGTGCGGACGATAGAATTATATGTTATATTCTATTTTAGTGATTCTCATTTGCTTTAACGATACCTTTGTGATGTTACTGATGTATTGAATTATCTTTTTCATATTATTGATATTATCGATTCAGCAGCACCAGTATAAGGTGCACAGAAAATGAAATGAGGATAAAGTGGAAATGTTAACAACGAAAAATCAGGTTCTTGAGAAATAAAATATATTTATAAAAACAAAATTAAACGCGTATCAAATAATACAGGTTGTAAATACTATACTCTCCGTCTTCATAGGATCTCTCTCTCTCTCATTTTCTTTTAATCTATCCGTCATCTTACGTCGAGACGTATCAGCTGTGTATCGCAAACAGGAGAAAGAAAACATATACAATGTACGATCGAAATAGACAAAAAACAAAAAAAATTGTAAAAAAGGAAGGAACAAAAACCGCGTTTCGTCGCACTGAGCGTTATTACTATGATGTATCGGTGTTTTCGCTTTCACGCTGGACTTTTCGCTCGCGTTTTTCTTCGAACGGGCAAACATCGTCGCACAATAATTCCATTCTTTGTTTTTCCTCTCTCCTTTCCGCTCTATCTATCGCACGTTATCATATATTTGTATACATATAATATATAAACATCGTTCTTTCTCTCTTTTTCTCTCGCATACGTACATGCGTTCTCTTTTTCTCTTGTCCTTTCATCTGTTCACCCGCTTACAAGTTTCATCGATTATTATGGCACAAAACGAGGAATGGGTGTGCACGGAAATACTTGTTATTACCGGATAAAAATTCCTTCCACTTTCCCTCTCTTCCATCTTTCTTTTTGATCTCGCACTTTTCTCTCCGATACACATACACACACGCATACGCATAAGCACACGCATATCACACACACGTTTCATTAACACTCGTTCACGCATACAATCACGTTCTCAATCGTCGAGAATTATTATTTATAATCTATTTCATTTGCCATAAAATTCTTTCGTCTCCTTTCTCCGTACTTATGTGAAATGCCCGCGAAATTAGAATTACACGTGAGGGGAAGCACACAAGGTTCTATTACATCTCGTCTTTCTTTTCCTTCTCCGTTTCTCCTTTTTTTCCATGTTTTTGGCACAACCAACGACAGTTTGGTACCGTGTGTATACATATACACATATGTATATATATATAATATATATAATATAGATATAATAATTTTGCACTCGCGTGCTGGAACAATTATTTTACAATTACAAACATGCTGCCGCACCAAAAAACGCGCTCACAGAACAAGTGAAAAATACCAACGATACGCGTCTTTCATTTCAATAATAATAATATTCATAATATATAATAATAATATAATAATAATGATAATAATAATAATACAAGAAACAAGCGAAACGCGTCTTGTCGTTTAAAAACAAATCTACAGAAACGAAATAATTCGCCGCTTCGTCGTCGCTCGCAGAATCACCATGTATATATATATTTATATATTTATATCGTTTGTTTCGCAGGTAAATGCCCATTGTGTTAGATTTTGTAATTTATTCTACACGCTCACCCTTTCTTTCGACATTCTTTCTCTCTCTCTCTCTCGCACGCTCACTCATTCGCGTCGAAAAACGAAAATTCTGTTGATTGCTTTTGTTCTTTCCTTTCGATTAATCTCTTATGCCCATATATCACGGCTGCGAAACACATATATTATTTTTTCTCTCGCTGAAACATATCCGCAATACGAGTATCTGACAATGATATGACGTCGGAAATATGTATTATATTCTTGATCATTCTCGATCGATCTCACCCCTCAACGCGTTCGTCTCACTACAAATTCCACCCTTTGCTTCGCCATTCATTTCGTTCTTCTTTCATCATCATTTTTTTTTAATTTACGATTATTTATAATAAAACTGAGTGTACAGTAATACTGTTTGATATGTCTCTAAAACGTACATCGATCTCTACAACCCTCCCCTTCGTCGTCAACTCTTTCTCTCTATCTTTCTCTCGCTCTCTCTCTCTCTCTCTATGATCGCTCCTCTCCTAAAAGTCTTCACATCTATTTCGCTTTTTGTTTATATTAGAATCTATATGTATAATGTTCTATTACACGCGTTTTTTACGACCGGCGGGCGACTCGAGGAACTTTACGGCAAAAGCAAAGAGGAAAGAGAGCAGTTTCCGTTTTATATTTTATAACGATGTAGATTAATTCTAACTCGATCAAATTTTAATGAGCTTTTGTATATTGACAGTTTATGTTATTTAATAGGTTTTGAAGATTGACGATTATTTTTTTAACGAGAGAACGCATGACGGAAAGTAAAAATTTGGTAAAATTATAACGTAAGCTTTTTCTTAATAAATTTTTAAATAGCTAAATTATTGTTTAAACAAATATCTGAATTGACTTCTTACGTTTCTAATTCTATTTCCGAATTGTTATGTTAATAAATAAATTTAAAAAATTTTAATTCACAAATTCTTAGATATTCATTGAATGAAATATTTTAAAAATTCGATATAAATTTCTCTCTTCTTTAATAAAAGTCTAATTTTGCGAAATTGAATCCCTTATTATAATAAGAATAAAATCAGTGTTGTGAAATCATGCGTTCCCTTGTAAATGAAATTATACTCATTGTCAGACTACAGTTGTGTACTAATAATAACAGCGACCATATTTACCTGTTCCATTTATACTATTTCAAAACAGAAAACATACGACAGAGATTTAATGAAAATTTAAAAGTGACAGTTAATAACAAAAATACTACACTGAGAAATATATCATAATTGATTTATATTTTCTATAAAATTAGAATGTAGCACCAAAAATGAAATAAAATATAAAAATCTATAATAATAAATTATCTCAACTATTTATCCGATATTCTGTCTGAATGAATTTATCATATTATTTTCAGAAATTTATCTAACAGTTGATATTGACAGGAGTAAAATTTGAAAAACTATTGAAATAAGAATTTATTTAAACAGAAAATAAAAATTCCTTCATTTCATAGCCTAATAATGAAATGATTTCTAAAAAAATTATTTTCTTGTTTAAATAAACCAACATTGTTACAAGTAACAACCACCCAAGTAATATATTATTTAAATACATTATTTGAATAATGTCAAAATTGAAGTGAACTAACAAAATACGAGAAAATGAATGGGATCCATTTTTACATGGCAAGAGGATACAGTAATCCCTTACAAATAAATAAATCCCTTAAAAAATGTACAGTAAGAACGTCTAAAATATTTGATGTTAAAGTTTAAAGCCAAAGCTGATGTAAAAAAATTCGACCCAGATTGTCTTATAAAATTTCAACTTTTATCACCGAATTATGTATACAGTAAAGCAAATCATATCGGGACTTTAACACAAAATATTTCTTCAATTAACCGTCTACTCTCAAAACTGTTGTATATAGTAATATTTATAATGACATAACCTTTCAATATACAAAAGCACATTAAAAATTTATGTAATTTATTTCGATAGCCACATATTTCATAAAATCAATGTTCCTTTAAATTTCTATATGGACAAAAATTATGGAAAAAATTGTGTTCGAGTTTTTATATTACAAAATAAATGCTAGTATAAAGAATTGAGGTTAGGAATGTGTGATAGCTATCAAGAATGAATGAAGTTGCTTTGAAGTTTTCAGAGATCATTTCGAAATGAATTCATGATCGAAATTCGGATCTAAGAGAATTATTAAATAACAAGGGTGAGCATAAAAAAAATATGAAGTACGTCGTTCCGCCCGCACGGATGCGCGCTCACCTACTCTTTCCTCTTTAATAACATTACTATTATTGCATTGGCTCTTTCATCTTTTCTTTCTTCCTTTCATTCATCGTTAAATTCCTGAACTCTGAGGTAGTCTGTTCTGGCTGTTCATATTACGTAGTAAAAATGGTAAGAGTGCTATATAATTTATCGTCTTTTTTTTTCTTCTCGCTTTCAATCTTTTCATCTTTCTCTAGTTTTAAATACGAAATAATTAAAAACAGAAAAAAGATACGAAACTCGAGGAAGGACGTCAATGTGCGTGTGTGTATGTGTACGTGTAAATATGATTCGTATGTACAAACAATGATTATGGTGCACTGCTCGAAATAATCGATGATAAATCGCGAGTGATCGAAAAAGAACGAAAGATGACATGCAGAATTAATGTACATATGTTACCGAGATACATTTGGTAGCACTTTCATCGAGCATTTTCACTGTTTAATGCGATGTATCGATTTTGTGTCAAACGATTATTTTGAGCAGCGGAACGCAAGACGGGACCTCGTCTCTAATGTAAAACAAACGATCCAGCGTAACAGAAATGGAGCTTCGAAAAAACAAAAAAGAGATTAATAATAACCGACGAAAACAATCACGATTTGTCTATTACAACGAGCGAACAATTCGATTAACGTTACTTAAGGACATCGGTTTTACAACAACAACAATCGAACAGGAACAAAGTAACTCGGAACTAATTGTTGGAGATACACTGTCGATCAAAAGTAGACCATCTCGTTCAAAAGACAACCCTTTTGTTGACGTACACTAATCTGGAGCACTCTGTTTCCTTGCACGAAACTCTTTTAATAATACTGTGTTTATAAATTATATTATAAGATGAAAGTTATAGTGATATTATTTTGAAAGAAATTGCTTAATATGCAAAATGGAAAATTTTGAAATAGTAATGGAAGATTTTTATTCAGTTTTTGATCTGTTTATTGATACTTATCTGACTGCTTTACCTGTCACTTTATTGCGAAAATAGAAAATTTCTGTTACTAAATAAAATCGATTATTCGGAAAGTGCTCCAAATCATTTAATGTGAATCCTATAAGATAATTTAATAATTTCTCGATTACATAAATATTTGAATAGGAAATTGTAAACAGTATACGTCGAGAAGCTGCGACGTTTGGAAAATTGTAAAACACCGTTCAAAATAATTTATTGATCAAAACTTCGCGAAATATTAAAAATTTCTTTTAAAATGCATTTTATTTCTACTTCTATTATTTCAAATTATATAAACATCTAATTAATTCATGTATTGAATTCATTGAACTAGTATTTTCAGTGAAAAGTTAACAAATGAAATTACGAGTTACACTAAACCATTTATACGAATTATTTTGAAATGTATCAAATGAAAAATATGAGATATAAAAAGAATTTCACTTTATCCACAGGTGGTCTCATACTTTTGACCGATGATATATCCTTCGAACAAGTATCAAACTCCTAAGGCCGATAAATCGAACAATTAAACGATCAACAGAAATAATTACGTGTAAACAACGGTGTACATTTCGTTAAAGCGAGGTCAACGTTTATTCGGTGTGTCTGTGTTGATGTACGTGTACGTATAACGAGCTGTGCGTAGCACGAAGGGAAATTTGCTCGTGTCGCGATAGACGAGAGACACGATTCTATCCTCGGTGATTGGCTCGTTCTGCGCTTCGAGCAATTAATCGAGCATTAATTGATCGTGTGCGACGGGTGACGCGCAATTAAGAGGCAGCAAACGCTCAACGAAATTTCGAAACGATTTAATAATCGATCAAACGAGTGTGTATGTTCTGGAAGTTATTCGCCGGTCAGGTTGAAACTTACAAGGTAAATCGAATTTCGTTGAACGCGATAGATGCATGAACTTTTACGAGAAACTGCACGAGCAAAATTCGTTTCGAGCAACGTACAATCCGGATGCTTAGGCTACGTTAAAACGTTTGGAAAAGACGCGTCGATGATTTTGAAAAGTTTGGAATGTACGAAAATTACGAGGAATGCGAAGAGTACGTTTCGAGAGGCTCGTCGTTAAATCAAACTAATCTATGTGTCTATTCTAAATCGATAAATGATGAATTTTTTATTCGCCTCTCGATCGTCCCCGACACGAAAACAGAGAAATAATAACGAAGAAAACTAAACGACGACTATGAAACATATTTTTACGGTGATTCGAGTCTCGCGTCTTTTCACGATTACCTATCAACCATGTTTTTTTATCATTTTTTTTCCTTTCGTTCTCCCTCGATAAAGTATGCTATGTACGCTATAAAATACGAGTATTATGAATAGGTTTCGTAATCACTTTCTAGACGATATTCAATTGAATTCGATAATTACAGTGATAATAATAATTAGAATAATTATACGCCTATACATTTAACATATTTTGTACAATCGATAAGCTTCGAAGGTTCAACGTCGCAGCGGAAGTTCATCCATTGCGCGTTTCTTTTTTTTCGGATTAATTATTGTTCGAGTGTGCGCGATCGCTTCGACTTTCCCGGGAAAATCGTGCCGTCCGCGAACGATCCGACGGATCGATTATCTCGAAAAGTTCGCGGTACATCGAGTCGAGCAGTCGACTAGAGAACGAAAAAAATGAAAAGAACAGTTCTCTGGTCGATCTTTCACGATCGACTCCGTGTATCGCGACTCGCGACGTTCGAGCGAGAATCATCGTTCCGATTTCTAGCGAAAAATTCATCAATTTCGTCGCGATTTAATTTCCAACGCGGTTATCCTCGAACGCGCAATTTTCCCGAGAGACCTGTTATATCTTGAAGCCGTTAAACAATAAATATTAAACCGTTGAGCAAAAAACCAAGATCCTTCCGAGCACCGTTGTCGTTATTTCGCGAGACGTTCTCTCTGTTCGGTACCGAGCAAAAGAAGAAAAAGAATAATTTCGATCGTTGAAAAATAACATTAACCGCGAGACTATACTTTTGTCGGGAACAACGGTTGTACGCGAAAGGATGTCGTTCTCTTGTTGAATCAGACGGAGATGGGAGAACTTTTCGAACCTGGGCGGGATTCGGATGATACGAGATTGTTCGGACTGCCTTAAACGAGAACTATGAATAATAAATTACAAATTTGATCACGATCGAACGGTTATACACTAGAGTCCCAGTGTCTCTGATCGATAAAGCAGGAGGTTCGATCGAGAAGTCGCACCGCGATATTTACGAGCCGGCCGTCGTGACGTACCGACGACCGACGATCTCACCTTTCGATTGATAATCACGAAGACCGAGGGCGAAGATCATCGGATAAACGGCCATGTTGTTGTTCGATCGGGACGATCGCCGGTTACTCCTCGACTCCGCGAACCTCTCTCCTCCTTTCGAATCACGCCCGCAAATGGACGTTATGGTTGTTGGATTTCTTTTTGTGCGTCTCGAGGTGCTTCATCATGTGGTCCTTCCTGATGAATCCCTTGCCGCAATTATCACAGGCGTACGGCTTTTCGCCAGTGTGGAGGCACATGTGCCGCCTGAGGTCAGTTTTGTGGTTAAACTGCTTCGGACATATCTCGCACTTGTACGGCTTGTCACCGGCGTGCTTCTGCAGGTGCTCCGCGTGCAGGTACTCGAGGGGGAACCTCTTACCGCACTGATTGCATTTGAACGGCTTGTCGCCGGAGTGGAAGCTCTTGTTGTGTTGCGTCAGGTAGCAGGCCTTGTTGAAGACCTTGTCGCACTCGATGCACTTGTGGAAACCGTCCTGGGAAATGTAGTGCGAGCCGGTGTTCGTGCTGGTCACCTGATGTTCCTTCGTGATCACAGAGTTCACTTTTGATTTCTGATGCTTTTGATAGTGTCTGCCGATGTTCGGATTCATTTCCTCCTTCGCCTGAATCACTTGCGGCAGATTATTATTGGCCTCGAGATTGTCGCGAGATTGATGAATCGAGTTCGACGGATGATTGTGCGTCTGTATCTCGTACTGTTTGATGATCATCCCGTCGGTGTTCGGATGCATGTGCACGTCCATGTTCGTAAGGGACTCGTATCGAGGCGGTGAATTTCCGTACGGATCGTACTTCGAATCGGAAGATTCGAATGATCTATCGTGAGGAGATACGTTCTCCTCCGGACTTAGCCCCCCCACGTTAACGGCCTGCGGTTGATTTTGGCCTATCAAAAACCCGGTCACATTGAACTGAGTGAAACTTGGTAAGGGCCTCTGATGATTGCTGAAGGTCCCAAAACCGGGTAAAACATCCTGAGTCTGCTGCTGTTGCTGCTGCTGATGATGTTGCTGCTGCTGTTGCTGGTGTTGATTATGATGATGTTGAGACTGCTGGTGTTGAGATTGGCCGGATAGCGATAAAGGCATCTCATTACCAGTAGTAGTTAGCTGGATGGTGATAGACTCCAGCAGGCCCGGGATGTTGGTAGTAGTTGTAACGTGGGGGGGCAAGGCGTTTGGGTACGGCTGATGAGGCATCGTAGTACCCCCCATCGCCGTGGGCGAAGCCATTGCTGGGTGGACCGAGCCCGGCGTTATGGGAGATGGCGAACTCATGTGGTGTGGGTGGGACGAGCCCATTGGAGAAGGTGAATTCAGGTGGGGCGCCGGCGGTGGATGCATGGGTGACATGGGCGAACTCATGGGATGGTGGACCGGAAGTTGGCCCGACGGCGAACCCATTGGCAGGTGATGAAGCTGCTGCTGTTGCTGCTGCTGCTGCTGATGGCCCAGCTGGGGGGATGGCGAACCCATTTGTTGCTGATGGTGACCCGCCAGCGGCGATTGCGCCGGAGAATTGAGCGGCGGTACCATTGTGGAGCCCAAGTGTACCCCCGAAGGCGCCTGTTGCTGCTGCTGCTGCTGAGTTAGAGCCGCTGAAGACTCGCTGCTGCTGCTGCTGTTGCTGTTGTTGGAATTGTTGTTGTAGAGACTGTTGGCCGTGTGGAGCAGGCCCCTCGCCGCCTCGCCCGAGGGACCTGCCATCAAGTTTGGGGGACTCCCGGAAGAAGATAACTCTGGCGATCTGGATGGTCCACCGCCTCTGCCACCAGAATGACTATCTCTACCAGGATGATGATGTGCACTGATGGGCAAGTTCGCAGGGTCCGGTTGATTGCTTTGTTTCACCGCGTTCTTATGCAGCGTCGTATTGTAGTGCCTTTTCAGATGTCCCGAGCTGGTGAACCACTTGTTGCACGCGGTGCAGTTGTAGGTCTTTGGCCGGCGCGCTTCGTTACTTTTCCACGATTGATTAGCCAAAGGTGGAGGTTTCGGTGGTTGTTGAAGAAGACCGCCGGGCATCTGATGACCTGGCATCGGTTGCGTGCTGGTAATAATAGGAGAACCTGGATGTCGCGGCGGTTCCACGGGCATATGTTGCCCGCGCATGAACTGACCCTGATCCGAAAGCGGTGTCACACTGTCCATGGGACCCATAGGCGATAACCCAGGGTGATAATCATGAGGTTGAGCGGCCGGTGGCCAACCCAGCATAGAACTCACCGAATGAGATCCGGCCCTTTGCTGCTGTTGATGCTGCTGCATTACCTGCTGCTGATGCATCTGCATCTGCAACTCCTGCTGCTGCTGTTGATGTAGCCTCATCAGTTCCTCCTCGTACCTGTGCGTTTGCACTTTGTGAGAGTCCAGATCGAGAATTTCGGCCTGTTCCTCTGGTTCCTGCTTCAGTTCCGTTTTCGTCGGTTGTCCACCGTTGTAGTCGTAGCCAGTTTGCTGCTGTTGTTGCTGACCGGACTGCGGCGGCGACGCGTGCAGCTGCTGTTGATTTTGTTGCTGAGGACTGCTACCGAGCTGCTGGTACTGTTGCTGTCCAGGATAGCCTCCCGGCGAATTCGAATGATTCGTTCGTACATGTTCGCCCAGTTGATTCGCGTCCTCATAAACCGCACCGCACTTGTCACACTGAATTGGCGGACTCCTCGGGCTAGTGGAACTAACGGAACTGGTGCGTTCCGGTGGAAAATGTTGTTGATGTTGATACGGATGGTAGCGCGAATAACCTCCACCTCCACCACTACTCCCACCATCGTTTTGCGCGTCTCCTCGCGGCGGTGAGTAGTGATGAGGCAAGATATAGGCCGGATCGTTCTGCATGAAAAAAGTAGCCTCGCCGAACATCGGTGTCTGGAAGTGATTGTAATTTTGTCCAGCACTTTGTTGTTGCTGCGATTGCTGCTGCTGCTGTTGTTGTTGCTGCTGCTGCTGCTGCTGTTGTTGTTGTTGTTGTTGCTGCTGCTGCTGCTGCTGCTGTTGTTGTTGAGAAGACGTGGGATCCTGAGAGGGCGGCCTCGAGGAAGATTCACTCGAGTCCGCCGGCGCGGTCACGCTCTCGCGTTTTACGCCCACGTGACTGTTGTGATTGCCGGCCTTGCTGTTGTTGTTGTTACTCTCCTCCTGCTGCGCCTGGCTCGCCCACTGACTTAGCAGGTTCTCCTGGTGGTATCGCAGGTGCACCTCGAGACTTTTATCGCTTTCGAAATAGAGGCCGCAGTCCTTGCAATGATGCTCCGGATTTGAACTGCCGCCTACGTACTGTTGCTGTTGCTGTTGCTGCTCCACACTCGTCATTTCACTCATATTGTCTCTTAGTCTCTGCCTCACTAGACGCGCGTCTTTCCCTGAAGAAAAAGCCGCGTGCACTTCGTCGTTCCTCTGTTGCCCTCGGTAATTGCACTCTGTCCGTAACACGAGGGACAAAGATGACCGGCACACGCGTTACACAAAACCGGAGGTGCCGTGCACACACCACACGCGCGTCAACGCGCTCGTGCGCGCGCGTAATTTCAATAACAGTTTGTCCCCGTGGCGTCGCGGTGCTCGTTTCTGTCTCACTCGTCCCGAATTTCGTAAACGAACCACAGAACTTGTGACGGGCGTTGGGCGATCGAACGATGCGTAACACGCGCATCAAGTCGCGACGTCTCGCGTCTCCCACCTTTCAGCCGTCGACGACCACCGATACGGGTTTCCTCGCGGACAGCACATGGACGATGACTCGAAAGAGGCGCGAAACTAGAGTCACGTGAGCTACCGGGGATACTTTCGCGGGAAAGGACGGTTTTTTGAAAAGGGAAGGCCGAACGAAAAGAAAAGAAAGGAAAAAAGAAAAAAAGCGGGGTACAGCGTGTTCTACATTTATCATATGATCGCACGTACGCCAGGTACGAAAGTCCAAATCAACCGCGATCGCTCCACCTGGTGCGACGTCGAGCGTATCACTGTGCACGGCATCGTCGCCCTCGCCTCGACGGTTTGCCGACGACGACGACAATGATATGGCTGATGGTTGGCTCGAAACACGGCTCAGGAACCGGCTTCCCTTCAGCAGAGTATGTCCGCCGACGCCGTGGCCGAAAATTAAGGATCTTCGGTGCTCAGCTTCGGCCGCGGACGTCGCGAAACGAACACGTACCAACCGAATTAAACAAAATAACGAAAAAAAAAGTAAAAACGACGGTGATACGCGTGCGATTTACATCTCGGTTCGATCGCTCGATCTCGTCACTGTCGTTACCCGTCTCTCGAACCAACGATTTCGCGCGGTCCAACGATCGTGAACGGAACTCTTCGTCTTCGAATCATTTGGTCATCACGATTTATCACTGTTCACTTTTCTCACTGACTTTCGTGTCCATTCCGTCACTGTCCGCGATCGAAAGATTGTCCACCCTTAACAAACGACTCCTTGATTCCTCCCTCCTGCGGGATGATCTCTCGAGGATCAAGGATTTCGTGCGTTCGAATTCGGCACCGGAAAGAACGCGAGACTGCGACGCGGGCGCGAGACGAGCGGTTTATCCTACGAACCGCGATTGTAAATAGCTAGCGATCGTCCTCAACCTCGTGTCCCTCTCCCTCTCTCTTCCTCCTCGCCCCTCCCCTGAGCCACGATTGCTCTAGCTCTCTCTTTCTGTCTTTCTCTCTCTCCCTCGTTCTATCCTATTCACACACTCTCGAGACCCGCGTCGTACGACCGCCGGCACTGTTCTGTCGGTTGGAATTCCGGAGTTTCGAGTCCTCGAGCTCGCGCCAAGGCACTGCTCTCCCCCTACCTTCCAAGCCTTCTCCGCCACCCCCTCTATACCGTCACTTGCTTGCCCTCGTGTTAGCTCTTTCTAACCACGTCTACTCGCTCCGTCTCTCTCCTCGTGGTCGTCTCTCTTCGTCGTCTCTTCGTACCTAATACTCTTTTCTCTTTCCTGCTTTCTCCTACCTGCTACTTCCCTCTCCTGCCGTTTTCCCTCCTTCATCGTTCTTAATGTTAGTCCACCGATCGGTCTTTCTCCCTTCAATCTTTCCTCGAGCGGTCCTTCCGTCTCTCTCTACCCTGTGTCTCTCCCACCCCTTCCCTTCTACAGGCTTACAGCAATAACGTCTCTCCTCGTCTAACCTACCAATTTTCGTTCGTTTTCTCCCTTCGATGTGTGACTTTCCTTCTCCTTCGGCTAGCGTCTGCCTCTTCGTCCCTCGTGCTGTTTTCTCCCTTTCCTATCTAGCGCCTTCGTCCATGGTTCCCTACCTTCACCGTGCACCTCGTTGCCGAGGGACGGAGATAGGGCGAGAAAAAGAGGCGATCGAGAGAGAGGAGGATAACTCGAGACAACCAACCAAATTTGAGACGTCGAGCGCTTCTTGCCCCCACCATGTACTCCTTGCCCCTCTGTGCCCTTCTGTTACAATCCACGATTCCACCGACTCTCTTCGTTCCCTCTCGCTCTGTCCTTCGGGATGTTTCTGTCATCCTTTCGCCTAAAAGGACGACGAATCCTGCTGGACCCCGAATCTTTTCCCTCTTTGTCTTTTATTTCTCCCTTTGAATTCCTCTCTTCGTTCGTCCAGCACCGAGGATCTGTTGTTCTTCTCCTCTCTGCCCTCTTCCCTCGCAACCCCCGCTTCTGTTTGTGCTTCTTCTTCTTCTTCTTCTTCTTCGGCATCGTCGTCCTCGTCCGATCGCGAGGCAAGAGAAGGACCAAGCTATGTGCGCATGGCACAGGAATCCTTGCGCGTTCGTATCTTTGGCGCTGTCCTTACTACACGAAACTTTATCCGACGAGATTTTTCGGAGCTCCATCGACCATTCGCTGGAATTTTCGTGCTCGAACAGCGTCGTTTCCTCGCGGCTGTCACGCTCTTCTCTTATACCTTTGTTTCCCTCGTTCCAGTTTCGATTCGTTCGTCCGCGAAGGACACACGTCCTGGACGATCGCGAGATCGGACACCTTCTTCGACGAAGCTGTTAGAATTTCGGAGGTCGGGAGATCGAAAGCTGACTACACTGCGAAATCTGTCACGTTATTCTTACACGACACGTGTACTTTCGCGATACACTCACGCGGGAAACTTCGCAACGTAACGTCTCTATCGTCATAGCTTTCGTTACAGATTTTATCGAATAACCCCAGTTTTTAGATATGCATGTTATGTACATTTTTAGGATTGAATTTTCTTATGTTAGACTTTGATATATAGCGATTTGAAATGAAAAATTAATTCGGTATTGTTTCTAATTGCAAGTGTTATCTTTTAGAACATTTGTATGGTTTATGAACTTTAGTATAAGAGATTCGCTTTGTAACTTATGCAGACGAGTTATATGTAGTACAAAATGTAGTCATTATCACTATACGAATTAATATAGTATGGAACAAATAAAGGTTAGGTTCATCATGGCCGTCATGAAGTTTGCAAATGTTCAAAATGTCCACCATTTAATATTTGTTATCATTTTTATGTTTGATATTAATAATAAAAATATTATTATTAGTTTAGTATATTATTTTGCGTTTTAAGTTCATAGTACTATTTTCAACGTTAGAGAATAAGTTAAATGTAGCTAAAAATTAAATTCAACACATAAAGACAAAGATAGGTTAGAATAACCTAATGGTCATTTTTAAATATAGCGGTATAAAAGAACTCTTATAATTGATTTAAAAGGTTCCGGCAGGTGAATCAGGCGGAAGATGAAGTTTTTCTATAAAATGTCAACTCTCCTGTTTTTGTTAAAGGTTGCCCATGTATTTTTTACATAAACATGCGATTGAAACATAAAACTTTTATCGATTAATTTTTTCTGGGGATTTGGGAATATAGAAATTTGGGGAGGTACGGATTTGAGAATATATAAATTTAGGGATTTGGGAAAATTGGAATGTCAGAATTTGGAGATGCAGTGATTCCGAGACGCAAGTATTTATAGATGTGGGAATTTGGAGGTATAAGGATTTGGAGGCATAGAGATTTACAGGCAGAGATATTTATGGGTGTAAGAATTTGAAGATATAGGGATTTGGGGACATAGGTATATTGGTATAAGTATATTTGGGGATATGGAGGATATTGAGATTTGGGTGTACAGGGATTTGGAGACGTAGGAAGTTAGGAAATATTTATATATATATAGGAACATAGAGGTCTAAGAATATTGGTATCTAAATGTATTGAGGTTCAAGAATATCGATTTTTCGGAATGTTGAATCTAGGGACTTTTAGAGTTAGAAATATTGGGATTTGGAGGTATTACAGTCTGAGGATATTAACACGTAAGTATATTGGATCATATGAATATAGGGATATATGGATGTAGTAGATATTTCGTATATAACTATATAGGAGTATATGAATATAAGTTTGTGAAAAACAGATGTTCAGGAATATCGGAAAGCTTGAAAAATATACGAATTTATTACAATAATATACTCTATCTAACACAAAATCACATACTTTCTTAATCAAATCATCTTATCACACATGTGTCACTTTCATAGCGCACATTCCCCCAATTTGTCCCACATGTCATCGCATATTCTGCATACATTGACACATAAATGTACAAATATCGTTCTAAAATCGCTCAGGACTACTTTGACCGAAGAAATGAACCATTTAACACTTTCAAACCAACCGCGAACCTTCACAAGCGTGTAGAAACGGTATTACTCGATAACGCAACTTTGTACCCTTTGACTTGACTGTCTTGTACCCTCCGTTTGATTCAATTCCCTCGATTGACGGCACCCCGCAACAGTCGCGGAGCTGTTCACCGCCTCGGGTAAAATAAAAAAAAAGAAATGTGGGTAACCTTGCATTTTTTTATGATACCTTTTTTCCACGCGACGAAGCGGGTTCCCGTGGCCCGTGCACTTTGCATACCGAATGCGACAACTCTGCTCTCACGCCCCTCTCGTCCACCTCGCTCTTCTCAGACACGATCCGCCTCCCCTCCACCCTCGCGCCACTTTATTCCACCTATGAATATGTTTATTACGTTGCACCGTAGCCACCTGATGCAAGAAAGAAATTTGGCCCGTGTGTGGCCGACCAGGAACCGGCACGTGCTGTCACCACGGATAAACGTCAGCGGAACCGGAGCTGTCGCGCCTCCTTTGATCTTCATTCGATTATGCCGTCTGACACGAGTCTGACTGTTTAGCCAATCGTTATCGGCAATGACATTGTTCGTTCTTGCCGCGAATTTATGGACAGCTTCAAGAATCGAAGGTCTTTCTTTTGGGAGAATAGCTGACGCGGAAACTTCACGGGATAGGCGGACGATTAGGGGAGGACACCTTTCCAGTAGCGGGTAATTAGTTCATGAAAATAGAACTGTGGGGCTGTGGTCAGAGATTTAGGTATTTCGGTATTTAGCTAGTCTGGTGTACAGTCTATTGTATTTCCGGTTAGGTTTGCTATCTTGCGGTTTCAATTTTCAGAAAAGTGTAGGACCTTTGATATGTTTTCAACTCGATAGGAATTACAGTAAATTCAATTGTAATTGACTCGACAGCAATTTATCAATACGAAAGGTTGAATTGAAATAAAGATTTCTAATTTGAAGTTGAAAATTTTAAGTCGAGGTTTATAAATATTTAAACCTTCTAAATTTATAGATTCGTTAGATTCGTTGGATTCGTTCATTTTTTAGCTTTCATAGATCCCCAATTTTATAGATACCCGATTTCAAAGATTCCATAGGTACCTGATTTTGTAGATTTTAAATTCTATAAATTACCAATTCCACAGATTCGCTATTCCGTAGATTCCTAATTCTTTAAGTTCCCAATTGCATTTTACAATTCTATAAATTTCCGATTTCATAGATTACCGATTCCATAGATCCCGATTTCATGCATTCCTGCTTCCGTAGATTCTTAATTCTTTAAGTTGCTCATTTCATAGATTCCCGATTCCGTAGATTTCACATTCCAAAGATTCCCAATTCCATAGATTCCCGATTTCATAGATTTTCCATTCCATAGGTTTCCGATTTACTAGTTTTCCAATTTCTCAACTTCCCTATACCCTAGATTATTGATTTCCTAGATTTCTTGTTTGCCAGATTTCAAATTACAAGTTTTACTTTCTTGCAATTAAAATGTCAAATCTTACATATTCAAATTTCCAAGTTCTTAAATCCCGCAACTTTCAAACTTCTAAATTCAGTTTACATTTGAAGATTTATGAATTTGCAAGTTAACATATTAAATATCTAAATCTAAATATCTAATATCTAATCTTGGAATATCTAAATGTACATATGTTTATGATGTAATAAATGTTTATATAATTTCTAGCTTATTTGTATGAAATGAATTACTATTTCATTTGAAGTGAGGTATATAATCAACTAATAAACTAATAAACTACTATTTAGCTATTCATATTAGCTATGAACAATATATTTATATACATTGTTCTTACAAAGTATAATGAATAATAACAATGATAAATAATAACAATGATAACAATGATTAATATAAATAATAACATATGATTTATGTCAGCACGTCTACTCCTAATTCACATCTGCATAACCACATTTCACATCTGACAACCAGCTTATTTTTTTATTCAAATTTGTCCATTTTCTGTTAAATCATAGTGAAAGTATCTAAGAGCATCTAGATCATCTTATGTAATTTATATTTGCTTGACAAGAAGTACAATTTAAATAAAAATGACTGAACTAATATTTCCGCGGACCGTAAATTTATGTACTCATTTTATTTGAACAATATACCATTGAAAATTGTATGAGTCAATATAAATTTACCACTGCTGTTACACTTTCGATGAGCATTTATTACTTAAAAACGTAAAAGTACTTATCCATACACAAATATTTGTCCATAGAAAAGAAATTTATTACAGTTCTTAGCAAACGACCGCACAATTTTTGAATGTGGCACAACTCGACGCGTCGAATCTTCGCATTTTACGATCACCCTCATTGTCACAGGATTATACAAGCAGATACAAGCTCGTAGCACGACGTCGACTAAATTAGATGGTTATTTGTTCCTCGTTTCCTTTACGGGCGAGCGGTCCAAACGGGTCAGGTAAGAGAGGCAGACTCGCGTGAATTGTAATTTACGCGCGAGCTCTCAATAAGGGGTAATAAAAATCACCGTTCGTTAGGGAAGTGCAGCGAGGGAAAACCCTGAATCGAACAAAATTACTAGTGTTTTGTAACCGGTAAAGTACAGTTTTATAACCCGAGTAATGTACCGATATTTAGGGCGAAAGTTATATTGACTGTCTCGATTATTATCGAAATCTTCGACGACGCCGAATGTTTTCAACGACTCGAAATAATCACGAAAACACGCCGGAAAGTGTTACCTGGAAGAGAGCTGAAAACGAGGCCGGGGGTGGTGCAAGTTTGCGGTGCGCGAAGAAGGGCGGTCAGGGGGGTGAAAGCGGAAGGTGGAAATTGTTCACAAATCTAATTGTACGACGCGCCTTTGTACTTCGTCCTTATTGTTCTACTTTGTACCTGAATGTTTTATTGCGGCCCATTGT